GCTCGCTTGGATTATTGGTCGGTGTCTGCCGGACCCGCACAGCCGGCACAGAGCCGAAGCCACCGGCCCGACGGCAGAGCAAAGCCGAGGAGAGCCGCGGCTCGGCGGATAGGCTTCCTTCCGCCTCAGTCCCGTTGTGTTGTGTTGTGTGGCTCTGCGTGGCCGGCCGCCTCGCGGCGCCGACGATCTGGGGTCATCCACGATACGCGCTCCGATCGGCCACACTGCGGCGCGCGCGGCCGACACCCGCAGCAGCGGCCCGGTCCCCTCTGACCTGGCAACAGGGGTCAGCATGGCCGGCGGCCGCGGCTGCGCGTGCCCGCGCCGTCACGGCCCTCTTAGCGTGAGAGGCCTCGTGGACGAGCGGCCCTGCGGTGCGTCTGAGCCGCGCGACCGCGCTGAACCCGACGCTTCCGTGTGAAGCGTCGTCACACTAGCAAACCACGGCTGAAGGAAGCAGGCCCCGGAGCCTTCCAACGTCCCAGAAACCAGTCAGCTTCGGCGCAGGGTGGCAGGGAAGTGTGGCGCGGCGCGGCGCGCGGAAGCTGCCGCCGTTCGGGCACGTTACGCCGAGATCGGTGTGGATCGGTCGGCGGGGACCGGGCTGATCTGCCAGAGTGGCCGCCATCGTCGGCCGACTCCCCGACGGAATGTGGCGCTCGTGGCGCCGGAACGGCGCCCGCGACGTGACGACGTGACGTGACGCGCCGCGCGGAATGCAGGGCGTCGGCCTGGCCTCGCTGCGCCGCTGGCGGCCTGCTGTGACGGCTGGTGCCGCCCGTCACACGCCCACCGCGCCTCCAGACGGAGCCGGTGGCTGGCGTCCGCGGCGGCGAGCGGTGGAGGCAGTCGCCATCCTGAGCCGCCTCCCGCTCGGCTCGGCACGAGAGACGCTTCAGTTGGCTGTGAGCCTGACGTCTTCTCGGGGGGCCGCCACTGCCGGCCCGGGCGAGTGACTGGCCTCGCTCCCGCTCCCCTCAGACAATGGCCGGTGCCCGCCCGGCGTTTAGCGGCGGACTTGCGCCCCTTCCTCGCCGGCGCGACGGCATGCCTGCTGCCAGCCCGCGGAACAGGCCGCTTCCGCCGACCGCACGGCGGCGGCGCTCTCATGCGTGCAGTATCGCACGTGGCCGGGCTCGGGGTGAATGCACGCGCCGTCCCACGTGGCGCTCGGCGGCGTGCGCTGGCGCAGGCCGAACGTGCGCAGTCGCAGGGCGACACGCCGATGCGGGGGAGACCGGTGTGAAGTA